GACTAAGGGTAAAACCTGATTCCTACCAAGTGAATCAGCTTTTTTCTGTTAGATATTCATTATTGGGCTGGCATTCCAGTCCTATAATGTATCGAGGAGTGATGCAATAAATAGAACAATACAATAGCTCAGGGTAAAAACCTTGAACCAGGTGCACAGAGAAGAAAGAAATGTTGTCTACAGTATAGAAAGAGCCATATAACAGGTGATCTGAATAGAAAGCGTAATCTAGAGAATAGAATTGTGGTCTCCGGTGGCTTTCTAGTCTTTCATTCCACCACTTCATTTGCTACAACCTTGCCTTTTGGATTCCATAAGGCAAGCTCGAATCACGATAATAAACCCTTCTGTATTGTAAACTAGGTGGCTGTCATTTGCCAATGACTCAGAAAAAGGAAAAGAAACCTACTGCCACTGAGTTGTAGTGAACTTAAAGAGAACAAGGTAAAACTGCCTATGTGGGTTTCTGAGATTGTAACTCTTTATGGGAGTAGAAAACCTTGCCAAGTGGCTGGTGGTTTTGAACAGCTGACTTTGTGTTAACAACTGTATAACTAATACATCACCAGGACTCCTTTGCTAACGAAGGAACATTAATGAAGACTATACCAAGTAGGAGACAAAAATCGAAGAGGCTGAGGAGAATAGAGGTTAAAAAGAATAAAAATGATTTGGGAGTTTACAAAAAGGAAACTGTTTACACTATTTTTTCATTAAAATAAACCCAAGGATTTGAAATAGGCATTTTAATTGTCCATTTATGTTCTTTCCAGTAATATAGCAACATGGGAATTATTCTCAATTCAAAAGTAATGATTACAATACTAATAGAATGCATGCTATTCATTTAATATATGTTTAATTTTATTTTGGAATTTCTTTGTGACCCTGAAAAGCTAGTTTTGAAAAATAATCTTTTAAAATATACCCAAATTTGCTATTTTAAAGAATCCATTATGCTGCTGTGCATATTTCTGCCCCATAGAGCTTCCTAGGTTGTAATCTTTGTGGGAGTTGATTGCCAGACCTTTCTCCTGTTCAGCAGCTGGTGGGTTCAAACCACTAACCTCTTTGATTAGCAGCTGTGAAAGGCAGGTTTATTGCGCCAACCTGGCCAATAGGAACGTGTGGGATTAATCAGGTTGCAGTTTGATTGGAGGGCAAAGAGATAAGTGATTCTGCAAGACCCGTCCCCGTCTCTTGGTCTCTGGTGATTGGAGCATGCTGGAGCATGTGTGCTGCTCCTGTAGTTAGTACTCTGTCTCAACCTATGAGCTACACTACCTCTGGGTCAGACCAATCCATGATCTTCTCACTAGAGCTTGAGAATCCTTTGAGACCTGCTGCACCATGCTACTGGTGCATATATCGCTTGAGCTTGAGGCCAGTGTATCCTGTTGCCTTGCATTGCTTGTGTTAGATATCCCATCTGGGCCTGCTTCGCTAAGCAATCCAGCTACTGGCTGTTAGTGACCCACCCTGCTGCTTGCTGTGGGCAGAATCTGCTTGCCTTGCCAAATGGACTCTGCTGTATGCTTCCTTGACCTTGGACCTGGCAGTCTACAGGCCTTGAAGGACTTCCAGTATATTAACTGTTGCACAGAAGTGAGTTGAACTGAAACTTCTGTACTGCTGTGTGGACTAATTAGCTGTATTCCTTCTCATTGTATAAACCTATCCTCTTATATCTGGTTTAATTTCTCTAGAGAATCCTGCCTAAAACAGCAGCCAAGCACTTAATCAATGCACAACCCATCTGAAGACTCAAAACAAACAATCATATCAATGCGAACAAGGGGCGGGGGCGGAGTGGAGACCCAAAGTCCATCTGTAGACAGTTGGACATCCCCTCACAGAAGGGTCACAAGGAAGGGACATTATAGGTATAGCCAGCCAGGATGCAGTATAGCACCAATGAAACAAACACCATTCCTCTAGTTCTTTAATGCTCTTTCCCCCTTGGCCAACATGAGATGGAAAAAAAAATTATAATTTAACCAGGGTTCATGAGGGTGGGAGTGTTGGGGAGGGAGGAAAAAAACAAGGAGCTGCTACCAAGGACTCAAGAAAATGTTTTGAAAAGGATGATGGCAACACAATGGATGTATGGATTGTTATGAGAACTGTAAGAGCCCCCAATAAAATGACATTTTAAAGAAAAACACAACCAACGCTCCCTTTTTGAAGTTCACACACCTGAAAGAACAAAATCTTAAGGATCCAACTTAGTCTCTACTGTATGCTATTGCCCCCTAGTGGCTGCTAAGAACATAAACTTGAATAAGTTACTGCTCAATTTTGGGCTCAGTTGTGACAAAGCCAATTAATTCAGTCTAACCATTTCATCATTACTGACAACGCTTGTTGGGGATCTGCTGTCCCCAACGGTGGTCTCTGAAGGGGCCACCATTCATCTTTCCCTAGAAAATACTGCTCCCAATGATGTAATTTCCATCTCAGAATCTCACAGTTCCCTACAGCCAGGGCCGAGAACTCTTTAAGTTGTGAATATATCAAGAAGTTTCTCACTCAGAGAAGATGCCCCCAAACAAAATCATTTGGCTGTCATGCCCTGCTCCTTGGAAACAAGCAAACTGCCATGATTTCTGCTTCATCTCACAAAATACTGGGTACAGTGAAAACTGCAGAGACTAGTAAACTCATGGGAAGGGTACCAGCAAGTTCTCAACTTGATCAAAGAGATGCTGCCCTATTTGTGAAAAATATGTGGAGTCTGCACTTACTGTTCAGTTACCTTGGGTATGTCTCAATTTCTTGAGTCTCGATTTCATCTGTAATCTCCTGCCCTGTCTAGTTTGCCCCAAGCTGCCATTCTTGCCCCAAATAATTAGCTTTAAGTGTCCAGAGCTCTTGAATCTACTTCTATAATATAGTTAGTACAAATGACAAGAATTCTGTTTGTTTTCCCTGCTGGGTAGGGAAGACAATGTTTTAATTGCTTTGATTTCTAAAGAACTAGAGCCATACCTGACACATTATGATTGTCACCACAGTCTGGAACCTTCTACAAGTTTATCTTCCTTTTCTCCTTAAAAGTGCCTAGACAATGTCATTGTGCTCTATTCCAACTCAACCAAACACACTGAGTCGATTCTGAAGGGCAGAGTAGAATTGCTCCACAGGCTTTCCAGAACAGTAAATCTTTGAGAAAACAGACTACTGCACTATCTCTCCCTCTGAGGGACTGGTGGGATTGAACCAACCTTTTGTTACAGAGCCCAAAACTTAACTCCCTGTGCCATCAGTGTTTTTACTGTCCTTCAATGTAGTGGGGAAAAGAGCTCCCTTAGACGGAGGTGTGTGTGTGTGTCTTAATTCTGGCAGTAATTAGCTCTGAGACTCAGAATAATTTACTTCACATCTTGGATCATGGTTTTCTCATCAGTTAAATGAGTAAGTTGAGTGATAGATTCTCCAAAGTTACTTTCATTTATGCAATTCAATTAATATATTCTCCTCTATAACCCTTTTTCCTTCTTGCTTTCACTTTTTCATTTATTAAAAATCATCCTTGTCTCTAGAGAAGAAAAACATTGAAGTTTATATACGATATGTAGAGAGAAATTAAATCACAAAAATGGCTTGCACATTTGTAGAAAAGGGCAAGTCTGGACAGACTCCAGTGTGGGGGTCAGATGTTAGGCTGGAGGAGTCTCCTGACACAATA